TTTTAAAAAGTTCATGGAAAAAGTTCATTATTCATTTTTCTATGAACCTTTTGAAGCCCATTATATTTGGTCTCAAGAATTTTTCGTATCTCACTGAATTAATACTTTAGGACTTTATAGATGTCATCTATTTAAATTTCTAATTTTTAGATGAGTAGGTAACTAAGAATCCTTCTAATTTATTTGTTTTTGTTTTTGTTCTTGTTATGTGCTGTCGAGTCGGTTCTGACTCATTGTTTCGTAGGATTATCTGGTTAATTTGTACCACCGACATTGGTGTTAGCAGTTTAGTGCTTATTCTACACCAAAACTTTAATTTCATTGGAGAATATTTATTTAGCATTTATATGCAATATCATTCATGCCATTACATAGTTTCAAGTTTATTTTTAACTTCTGTTTCTCTATTTGAGTACATAACAATGTGGGATATAGCAAATATTTTCACCTTGTAAACTCATATACAGATTAATTATAGTTTAATGGAAAAATATTTTATTTGCTTTTCAGAGTGTTGCTGGTACCTTAGAATTTCAACCAGGAGAAAGATATAAATATGTATCTGTCAACATCACGGATAATTCTATCCCTGAACTGGAAAAGTCTTTTAAAATGGAATTATTAAATTCAGAGGGAGGAGGTAAGACCAGTGATTTAAAATTTTCAAATATTTTCTTTACCACTGGCCATGATTCTACTAAGGAAATAAATTCCTTTGAATTAACTTGCCCCCACCCCCCTTTTTTTTAAATGACCAAATGACTAGTTTTTGGAGAGAGCAGTCTGATGGTTAATAATCACATAAATTTATAGTGGAAACTATCTAATCACTAGCTTCTTTATTAGTAAAACCAAATCTCTCTCTCTCTCTCCATAATTTTTTAGCATTTTTTTTCTGAATTAATTTCAACTAGTAGCTTTATTTGCACATATGTTTGCTGTTTACAGCAACAACGAAAGATCACTGCTGTGTCAATTTTCAACCACAGGGGTCGCTATAGAGGATTATCAAGACAAAATCTTTAGGGGAGCAGATAGCCTCATCTTTCTCCTACAGAGCAGTTGGTAGGTTTGAACTGCTGACCTGGTGCTTAGAAGTCCAGTGCTTGTCCTACAGTGCCACCAGGGCATCTTATTTTGTTTGGCTAATTCTGAATTAGAATTAGTTAGTTCTATTAATTCAGAATTAGTATGTGGCATTGCAGGATAATGTACTGTACAGTAAGGTTGGTTTGAGCTGCAAGATCAGTTTTTTAAACCCACCGGTTGCTCCTCGGAAACCCAATGCAGGGTCACTCTGAGTCAGAACTGACTCAAAGACAACAACAATGTATTTATTTTATGGATATCACTTTTGTGTTCACATAACAAAATGTGCTATTTTGTCCTCTTATTACCCATCACTCTTTTCATAAAATAGGTGTGCTTTTATAAAAGAATAGAATTATACTGAGTCATCAAATTATTGTATTATTTATAGTTGTTGCTGTTCCTAAGTGCCGTTGAGTCAGTTCTGACTCAGAGTGACCCTGTGTAGGGTTTCTGAGAAGTGGCTGGTGAGCTTGAACTGCTGACCTTGTGGCTCAAAAAGACGTTGCAATCTTTTCTGTCTTCCTTTTTTCCAATTTTCTCTTTAGAACTATCTGCGGTTATAGCATAGCTTAAAAATGAGTCATGGTAGATAACCTATTTTAAATTGATTATCAATAAAACAGATTAAAAGTAGGTTCACAATACTTTATCTTCTATTCTTCTTTTAAAAAAATCAAATAACAAAAATTTGGAGAGCCAAAGCACATTTTGTGACAAAAACTTACCTCAATTGATGTGGGGTTAGTGGTTACTAGTTGAGCTGCTATCCTCAAGGTCAGTAGTTCAAAACTGCCAGCTTTTCCACAGGTGAAAGCTGAGGCTTTCTGCTCCCATTAAGATATACAGTCTTGGATACTCTATGCAGGGTCGCTGTGAGTCAGAACTGACTCCACAGCACACCACCATAACCATCACCAGAGTGACAATATTTGTTTCTTTGCAGAAGTACTTTTGTATTTAATTGTGGGTTGCTACTGGACTCTCAGAGTCCTGGTGTGGTGCTGTGGGTTAATGTGCCTGACTGCAATGTCATTTGAACCAGAAGGTCAGTGGTTCAAGCTCACCAGTCCCTCCTTGGAAACCCTATACAGGGTTGTTATGGGTCAGAACCTACACTACGGCACTTAACAACAACAGCAACAATAACTGGACTCCTGGTGGGGCACTGTAGGGTTAGCAGTGGACTGTGAACCATAGGGTCCGCAGTTCAAAACCACCAACTGCTACTTGGAAACTCTACATTCAGGGTTTTAACAGTTCAACAGCACTACTGGAAGTGTTATGGAATGCATGATATATGCATTCTATTACTTTT